ATTCGATTTCTATAGACATTTAATTTCTTAATTTGCCCATTTTTATCACAATTCACTACTCATTCAGCAACTCATTTCTCTCAATAATCTCATTATATCCTATTACAGCAATCTCATTCTTCCATAATGTCAAATAATATATTATTTATCCGGGTTCTGTACCAGATAATCTCTTTTCCCCTATTTACTCAAGCTCCTCTACGATTTGTGACCATTTACGTTTGCTATATTTTATTTTTTCACCGATATTTCTTCACAAGTTGCCGAAATTTATTTAAACAGTTTATTTTTGAGTAAATAAATTGACAACCCTTAATTCCCTTAATTCATTCATATTTACACTCCTTATCCCGTTTGGAAAGGCGAGTGAGGCCAGTTTGCGAATATCTTCCACCTGTCTTTCCAAACGAACGGAAAGTTTGGAAAATTAAATTACTTGCACTTGCACGCAGAACTTGAATATAGCCATGTATCGTGCATTATCGCATTGTCGGTTGATATAAAATCTCAAGTCTACGTTGGCAAAAATTTACAAACGAATTTAAGGGTATTAACCATGTATTTTATAATATTTGATACGCATGAAGCCTCTGTCATTGCAAAATTTTTCATTTAAACATCGGGCCCGTCTGTAAATGCACCTACTTAATCTTCCGATATTAAAATTAGGACAATGGAGCATATTTGGATGCGTTTTTCGTAATCTCTTAACTAGTGAATAGATTCTGAAAATACGGTCACTAATTCTAAATTCTTAAATTATATTATGTACAACGGATAGGCTTACCTAAGGTTGATTGTTATGCTATTTAGTTTGTATTTCAGCTCTTATTTTGTAATAGGTTAGCTTTTGAATTATTATACTTTGTTATCTAACCTATCAAAAATAATACCTTGTGATGATTTTGTGAAATTCGTCTTATTACAGTATTGCCCCTAACCTACGTCTCATTCGCATACTACTACTTAAGTCCTGTAAACCTGTTTTCAATTTTCCTCTCCACCCCCAGCCTCTACCTTAATCTCAAGTAACGGCTCTCGGATAACAACCGGTGTGAACACGAGTAGCTCGGGCTTGCGAGCTCTTCGAGGTGGGGATGCTGTGTTCCGTGCAGGTCCCCCCCTTTCCTCTGGTTATGCCAATAATGCTCACAGTATTGGTGGCGGCAGCACGCTACAGCGGCGCAAGTACAGCGGTGGCGCTACACTTGGCAACTTGGAGCCGGGTGAACTAGAGATGGAGACATTCAAGTAGGTTCCAGGTTCATTAAAAGCCAATCATGACAGCACAATATAAGCTTGTTGAAATAGACGGCTTGAACTGGAATTTGGATGCATCAACCTAAAGCAGGCATATTATAATCGAAGTCGGAATATGGACTTATTAAATTTTCGGAAATTACATAAATCACTGAGAAAATGCTAATATACTAATGCTGCTATGGAGTTTGTATGCCTAATGCAATGCTCTATCTACATATAAGGACTAGAAATCCTCCTTCGGAATATGAGTGTTACCCACGATTTACGCTAGAATGTTGGCAAAATGAGGTGATGCTGAAGGTTTCCGTCTAATACAGGCCTTAAGTTAAATTAATCTGATAAGCTGAGCTCTAGGAATAGATATATAATAGGATAATTTTCATTGTAATTTGGTGTAAATACATTTGACGATTGTTCCTTAGTCATCTCGTATTGGGTAATCCTAACCTTGAAATGCAGCTGATCTAAGAAAGCTCAAAAGTAGCATAACATTTTTAAATAAATATTTGACTGTAAAATTCTATCTAGCGGCTTTACAAACTGGGTTATTTTCACTGTGAACAAGCTGTCATGGATATTTTACCTAATTTGATTTTGATAGCTTACGTTTCATTTGACCATTTTAGTTTGAGGATATTGCAAAATTTCGCCATCACTGAAAATTTGATAGAGTAAAAGTTTGCTATTTTAAAGGGCAATTTTTTTTAAGCGTTTAAGTAATGCTGGGAATCCAAACAAAAGCGCAAGCGACTTTATATGGAATATAATCCTTCAGAGCAAATGCTTTCTCATTTAATTCATTCCTTCATAAGAAAACGATATAGATCTGGTTAAATATCAATAAAATTCCTAAAATTCTCTTACTACGTATGTTTAAACAAAGACGTACAATTAGCATAATACATAGATTCAGCTATCCAGCAATATTTAAAAGCTTCTACTTGTTTATGAGGGATTTTTTTTAATCTTTGGCTAACTAACGGCTGAAATTTAAGCTGTTCATTAACTGGCGAGGATGGTCCATTGTTTTGCAGAATTTTATCCAAACCTGTTTTTTTGAAAGACTTTTTTATTCATGAAAATAGCTTATGTACTTATCATTATCATCCACAATGATACTCGATTGTCTTTGGGTGGCACTACATCACCCTCTGCTGCATTTTCATATTGCTTAAGTGAAATTTAACTGGAAGGTTAACTCTTCAGGTCTTCATGTGAATGTTCAGGCCTCGGATCATCAAGGCGACCTACTCTGGAGATCTTTTTGTGTAAAATCCTCTTTTTAGTAAAAACGCTCCTCGATTAATCCCTAATTTCTCAAATTTCATTACTTTATTAGATCTTCTCATTGGAGTTATTAGCACATTTGTATCACCAAGGG